TCAGCTTTGCGTGTGCGCATTTGCAGCTGATGTTGCCGCTGTTGTTGCCGCTGTTGCTGCTGCTGTTGTTGCTGTTGCTGTCGTGTCTGCAGCATAAATGGGCCCCCACAGCGTCTCCTTAAGTGGAGATATTTATAATAAGTTTATTTGCTTGTACTCGCCAAGGCAACGTGGCACGAACAACAACAACAACAACAGTCGAAGCCGAAGGGAACTAAGGACAACAACCAGAGCGACTGCAACACCGGAACAGCCAACATGCAACATGTTGCTGTGCCTGCTTGCGATGTTGCCCAGCTTGTTTGCCGCTGTTGGGCATTCACAATCCACAATCACATTCGCAGTTGTAAATTGACGTTTTGTGTTAACGACCGAAAACGTTGCCGTTTGCCGTCGTTGTCGTCGTCATTGCGTTGCGTTACGTTGTGTTGCGTTGCGTCGTTTTCAAATCCCATCAGCAACATCATCAAACAAAACAGAACTGAGAACACTCGTGTTTCCGTGAACTCTTCTATGTTTTTTTATTTTTTGCTGGCTGGGAAGTAAGGCAATTTTCGTGCGTGCGTGTGTGTTAGCTGTGTGTAAAGACATCATCATCAACCAGAGCAGCGGCATCATCCGCACCCCATGCAACGCACAATTTGTTTTGAATTGGAGCCTCAAAACATGATTTCATTAATGCAGAGATAAAAAAACACACATAACTCAAGTGGATTTCTTTTAGGTATTTTTGGGAATATTAATTAAAGGAAAATCATATGATCTGATTTTTAATTTAATAATTTTTAGACCATATGATATAAGTTTTACCAATTTGATCAGAATCGTTAGTTGAACGATGGGAAAATTTGTAGAAAACAAATTATAACTTTTTTTGTTTTATACATATTTTCATCTAATTTAAGATAAAGCTATTTTATATTACTAATTTCGGTATTAATTTTATTCAAATCTGACGATTATGTTAAGCTGCTAACGATTGTTAAATATAGAGAAATTGCTAAAACTGTGAGTGTGAAAATGTAAATCTCTTGCTCTCTCCTACTGTCTCTCCCTCTCTATATCTCTATCATTTTATTTTAGATATGTCTATGTTATGCCTCTATGAGTATCTCTAGAGATATCTCTTGTTCTCTATCTCTCTCTCTGCCCATCTCTCGATTATCACTTTCTCTGGCGCTCTCGCTCTCACTTTCTCTGTTCTCTTGCTCAGGGACTATAAATACAGGCACAGTTGTAGCGCTGCCCTCATTCTGTTCGCGACCTCCCTGCTGTTCACATCTAGAGAGTTGGTGATATTGACAGTGTAGTTATTGCCCTTCGACCCCAAAAATATGTCTTTGCCTTACTTATGTAGATTTCATATTCGAACTTACATATTTCAACTTTTCGAAAATAGCTTGCTTCGTTGTTATATATAATATGATAATATGATATATGGTTATTATTATCATAGAACTATATGGAATATAGGAAAAATTAATTTATCCGGTAATTAAAATACTAAAAATGGCTTGCAATGTTAAAATCTGTAAGCGTTAAAAACCATAATAATAGTTTAATCTACTTTCATTCATATTTTGTGAGAAATTCTTGTTCAAATTATATACTAAGCATCCATATATTTCGTTCTCTATTTGGAATGTTACTAGAGCCAGAATTCTCTATAATATTATCCTAATTTTTTCCCTGTGTATTTGTGTTTATTTGAAGTGACTTCCCCGTCCGTTCCCCCTCTCGTTCTCCTCTCTTGCTCATCTCGCTTCTATTCAAGTGTATCTAAATTGCTTCATCTTCGTTTTGTGCAGCAGCAGCAGCATCAGCATCTTGTTGATGTTATTTCTTGTTTCATATTTTCGCAGTTATTTTTAGCATTTTCTGCCCGCCCTTTTTTTCAATCCCTTTTTGCTGTATGTGTGTGTGTGTTTGTGTGTGCGAATCCTCCTCAATTCAATTCAATTTGCAGCCCGTACAATTTAAATGAGCAATCAGGGCACTCACAGCTTGGCCATTGTTATTGCCGCCGTTTCAGTTGCTCTCTCTGTGTGTGTGTGTGTGTTGGTGTCTGTGTGTTGGTGTAGCGTGGCGGCGACTCCTATTGTTGCTGCCATTGGGATGCTGCCCTAATGATGATGCTGGGGGCTTAAACTGTTGCTCCGGCAATCGAAACGCGAATAAGAGTTCATTGGGTTCATCTGACCGCCAGCAGATTAGGTTCCCGAGAAAACAACAACAACAGAAACAACTTAAATCAGCAAACAAAAATTCCAAAAACCGAAAAATTTTATAATTAAAGATTGTTATCTTCGGTGGCAAGCAGGGAAATAGAAAAAAGTGATTATATTTGGTGGACCCAACTCTTTATACATAATTAATTATCAAGTTGGAAAATTAATTTTCAAATAAATTAATTTTTAATCATAAGCTAAATTCTCAAAAAGTATTCTAAGATTTCAAGTTCAAAATATAGTATTTTATAATAATGTAAGCTTTTCGGATGAATTGTAGATTAGAAATAAATAATCGTTCATTTCTTGTTCTAAAAAAAAAATAATAATAATTCTTTATAAAGAACATAGAAATTATAATCTAGGTTTCAATTAATTTCTTAAATATATTTCTTACCAATAAAAAATAATAAACTGTAATTTCATCAAGTGTAATTTATGGTAATCACTGGAATTTCATAAGCATTACCAATTCAATCCAAATTAATCATTCGCGAATATAGAATTCGCGATAACCTAAAAATAAACGGCAATCAAACCATTCATGGCCATGAGTAATTGGCCTTATCAAAAGCATAACATCGCCCCATTAATAATCGCACCCTTAAAGCTAATTGAGCTGTCGCCCCTCTTCGTATAACTTATAATTATTAAAAAAAAAAAAAAAACAAAAAAGAAGTAGAAAAAAATAATAAAAATAAGTCACGCACACACTCTCGTTGCTGACTAACAACAAATTGAATTACGACACATTCCTGCAAAGACAATGAATGGCTTTTGTGTGTGCGGTGACCCAAAGCGACGTTCTCAGGAAATGAAATTATACACCAATTATTGCCAACAACGGCAAACGGCAAAAGCAAAACCAAAAGCAAAAAAAAGCTTTTAAAGAAATTGGAAAGAGGCAGCCGGGGTGGCTCTTGGTCCCCTCGAAATGTGAACGAGCGAGCGAGAGAGAGAGAGAGCGGTGGATATGGCAACGAAATCTCAATAATTAATCAAATAATAAATCTCGGTGAGCAATTAAGAGGAGAAAGACAAAGCCAGCGAACCGAAAGGCCGAAAGCAATAAAAACCATTGAAAAGCCGTTGGCTCAGCATTAATTAGCGCTAAACGCCGTCGCAACACACAACATCGTCAAGCAGCAGCAACAGCAGCAACAGCATCAGCAACAGCAGCAACAGCATCAGCAACAGCAGCAACATGAACTCCTCGTAAGCAAAATCAGCATCCGCCACCAACTTATTAAAGTATGTACATATAACTCAATTATAGAGAATTAAAAACAAACTCACACAGCCAGCGAACGTCGGCAATTTGCAATGCAAAAGATATGCACTGGAAATACTTAATGATTTGAAATGTAATAACAATTTTAAATTAAAGGACGTTCTAAATAGTGGAGTATTGTAATTAAAATCAAAAAGCTAATTCTTTTTGTTATAAAAAAATATAATTTGATTAAAATTATGCTAAATATCTTCAGTATATCATAGTATAATAATTTGAGGAGCCAAATTTAGAAGCTCTTTCCAACATTAGAGTGACCAGGCTATGTAAACGCCACACGAACGTTCACACTTGCGGTGTGAGCAGAGGTCGGGCAAAGAAATTTACCTATGCGAAACTCAAATCTTATAATACATTTTCAAATTGTAATTAAATCCCCCTTAGAAATACCCTTTAGACATCATACATGTCTCAGGAACACCTTCCCAAAGAATATAAAAATTATAACAATTATAGATTAATTTTAAAAAACATATATCATTAGTATCCAATTCAAAAATCTGTTGCTAAGTCTCTCGCGAATCATTTAAAGAAACATATATTAAAGGTGATTTATAGCAACATCAAACCATGCTAAAATTAAAAGCTTATAGCTCTCAAAATTCAATCTATTCCCCACAAGAAACACCCACAAATTTCCCTCAGTGTACCACGGATAAACTGAGACGCTGCGCCCAAGCAGGCAGCAACAATCAAAGCAATAAAACACATTCAGCATTTAATAATCATACCAACAACAACGAGCCAAGAGAACGAGCTGAGGGAGCCATCACACAAAACCATTCGCTTCGTTCCGTTCTCACTCACTCGAAAAAAACTGAAACTCAAAGATACGCCACGAATGACGCTAGCAACATGTTGCTATGCTTGGGGATCCACAGTCAAAACAAAAAAAAAAATGTATGAGCAACAACAACACACTACCGAAAGCACGTTCAACGAGATACAATTAAGCCGTAATGCATATGAAAATTTGTGTTTTATTGCCGTGCGTTATGTTCACGTGCGCGGCAACTGTGTGTGTATGTGTGTGTGTGTCTATCTATCTCCATCTCTATCTGTGTGGATATATAGCAAAAGCTATAGCTCGCATCCGTATCTCTCTGCGCACCATAATTGTAATTATAGTAATATGTTTTATGATGGTTCGTTCTCGTTCCTCGTTTAGCAACCCCCGCACACACACACACTCAGAGACAGTGTCTGCGTTTGGCCGAAATGTATCTAGATACATAATTGCCACATTCAGTCGTCGTTAAATAGTTGCACGGCGCAGTTCACACACAAGAGCAACAGCAGCAGCAACACAAGCAGCAACAGCAGCAACAGCAACACAAGCAGCAACAGCAACACAAGCAGCAACATTAGCAGCAACAATCATCGTTGTTGTCGTCGTCGTTTCAGTCGTCGTCGTCGTCGTCGTTTTCGTGCTTTATAGCACTCGCACTCACAAGTCGCTCAGAATCGCTGCCGTCGTGGTCGTGGTCGGTATCGGTATCGGATTCGTATTCGGAAATCCAGTTCCACTTCTTTTCCCTTTACAGAGTTTTCCCCGTCTGTTTTTGGCGTTCAATTTTTGCCGGTAAATCGCGCGACTTCCCCCCTGAAAGACTCTTATATTCAATTAAAGCGCCAAGCGTTAAATATTAAGAAGCACGAGAAAAGAAATATTATAATTAGCCATGAGGCCATAGAAAAGAATGGGACTGCTGGTGGTAACTCAACTCAACTGAACTGAACTGAACAATCGACCCCCTCAGTGTACTATTTTAATTAAGTGTGTGCCGCAACAACAAAAGCAACAAAAGCAATAATAACAACCATAACAAGTCACGCATGTGTAAATGTATCTTTGTATCTGTGTATCTCTCGCTCAGTGTGCCGCTTTTGTGTCCATTAGTCACACATGAAACTAATTAGCATTTCGTCGTCTGTTTGTTATTGTCGCGTTTGCTGGTCAAAAGAATTAGCGCGGGCAAAACGGGGCAACGTCAAGCGCCATTATGCGATATCCCCTAAATATATATACATATATATACAATATTTTTGGTGTTTATATATATCGCTCTGGGATTCTTTCTTCACATTTTTTTTATTTACGCGCCCCTCATTTCTTTTATGATTTTTCGCTTGGCATTTCCCCATTAATTTGTTTATTTTGTGTGCGGCGACGCATCGCTCGATTCCCACCGTCGGCAATCAGCAATCGAGTTTATAAGACGGCACAACATGGTCAGCACAATTAACCAGCTCATCATCAAAGCCGAAACAGCAGCAGCAATATCAGCAAAAGCAGCAGCACACATCGCAGCACATCAGCAACATCAACGGAATTATTAGCGACAAAAAAAATATAAGATATGTCACTGAGAAAACTTTTAGACAAGAAAATTACATTCTTCAATTTGAAAATGATCTAAGAAAACAATAAATTATACTTTGAAAATTATTATATGTTCAAAAACATTAAATTCAAGCTTTAGATTTACAAGATAATTAAAAGAAAGCTTAAAATAAAATATATTACTTCATTAAAAAATAATATATACTTTCAATAAAGAGATTTAAGATCAAAAGCAAGTGAAATCCAATGTAATTTTTAATATTTTACTAATTCAAAGAAAAACTGTTTCATAAGCCTACAAATTGTATAAATTTTTTTACACACATTTAAATATTCACAAGCCTAAAATATTCATTCAAAATCGAATTAAGAAGCCAAAAATATTTATTCAAAAATCATTTAATTCCATAAAATGCAGCTTGATCTTTATAGCCTCTCTTTTTCTTCAAAGAAATGATCCATTTCCGATCTTAATCTTCATAAACTCCATTATTCTATTAAGATGTATAGATTTCCAAGTTTCTTCTTATCATTTTTTCTATACACAACTTATCTTGTCAACATTTTTCTTGCCGTGTAAGCACTTCTGCCTATTGACGCTAATTGCTGGCTGGCGTATCTGCAAGATACTTTTGGGCCGCTCACACCTCACCGCCATTGTGTGTGCGCTGCTGCTGATTGTTGTTGCTTCTGTGCTGCGTATTGTGTGTGTGTGTGTGTGTTTGTTTGTTTTTTTCTTGCAGTATTTTTCATTTCTTGTTGTATTTTTTATTTTTTTGTTATTGGGAGGTTCGCACGCTCTGGACAGTGCGGCAATTTGTCAACGCGAGGCGTTCGCTGACAGGTTACGCAGCCGCACTGCCGGCAATTGATTTTCAATTCATTTTATTTGGCACACACATCATACACACACATACACACTCATAAATAAATTATAAAGCAGCTGCAGCAACAGCAGCATGTGCAAAAAAGGAAATTTTGCATTTACATTTTCATTTTCGGAACAGAAAATATTTCAATTACTCAATTAAATTCGGTGGGACAACAACAACAAAAAAATGGTGTTATAAATAAAGCATTAATTCGGCTCGGTGTGAGTGTGATTGTGAGTGTGATTGTATCGTAATTGAAGTCCACTTTATGGCCGGCCGTGTGTTCATTTCCCATTAATTACGCGGCCAGGCCATAAATGCTGTCGCTGCTCACTCGCTCATATTAATAATAAATAAGTAAGAGTAAATAAATAAACTATATAATGGATATAAAACGCTAAGGCTGCCATTTAAGTGCCAAAAAGTTCAACGCAAACCAGTTAAAAAGCTTATAATGTTTAATGTAAAGCAAAACAATTAAACGCAAAAGCAGTTTACAAAATAATAATAAACAAACAAACAAAATCCAAAAGTGAACTTACAAAAAATGTGACCCTCAGTGCCATTTCACTTAGCTAATTGCCGTCGGTATTTTGTCACAAAGAAGATTTCCTGAAATGTCACACAAAAATAATATAAATAAATAAAATGCAACTATTTTAATTTCTGGCAGGAATTAGCAAATGCAATTTAAATAAATATACACAATGTATAAAGCTAACAAATGTAAAGCTACAAAGAAGAGAAAATGCAACAATCAAGTGCTTAAAATATATATATATACACATTTGGCAAATTAAATATTTCGCCACATTTTCAATATTTTAACGAGGCCAAAACATACGAATTGATAAATGAACAACACAAGAGACGAGAGTGAGAGGCGGCCATAAGCTTGCACAATAAATACAAATAAATTTAATTAAATTACAAAAGCATTATGCAGATAGAAGCGAAACGAGACAATGGCCTGCCAATTATGAAACCAGAACGCATTTCGAAAATAATTAAAAATTAAATAAATGAACGACGTGCAGCTAATGCTGAACAAAAAAAAAACACGGCCAGCCAAAATACATTAAAATTAATTCGCAAAAAGCGCAAAGGCAAAGGCAAAACAATAATCAATAATTGTCAATTGGCTGGCTAATGAATTAATTACATTTATCTCTCTACTTCTCTCTCTCTCTTTCTCTCTCTTTCGTCTTTGTTTCTCTTTTCTTTCATTTGTCAATTATTTTGTATCGTTTATTTTATATATATTTCTTTTTTTGTGTGGCATTTTGCGATGTCTTTTTTTCTGGCGCGACGACCAAAGGCAATTTAATTAGGGAAAGTGGATTAATTTGCAACTCGTTAGACTAATTAAGGATTATAATCAGCAGCAGCAGCACACAAACCAACGAGCCATGTAAAACGTCAGCGAAAAGGATAACAAAAAAGTGAAAAACAAAAGGAAAACCCGAAAGGAAATTAAACTGAATACAAAAAAGCACAGTGCGACCCACACACATAAGGTGACCTTTGAAAGCCAACTATAAATAGATCGGCCATTAAAGGCGTTTTACCACACAACAAACTACAAGGAGAGTGAAAAACAGTGTGAAAACGTTTAATTGGATTTTGGATACCAAAAACCGTCAAGAACAACCATCAACCAATACGCCCGAGTGGCCCCCTCACAGGTGAGTTTATGGCAAGTACTTTTCCCATGCCTTCAATTTCAGGGAATTCCTAGAAATCTCACTATAAAGACAGGTCAAAACCCCAGGGCTTGATAAGGTATCACAAAATATAGGGCTTGTCGTAAGTTTCTAATCAATATTTATATATAAACCTTATATATAAACTTTTATTTGAACAAACAGTTTTTAACTAATATATCAAATTAAAAATTAAAAACATATTTCCTGGAAACTCTTTAATGTTTATAAACTAATAGGCAGCTGTCGACCCTTGGTCTAAAAATTAATCTCAATGAAAAGTAGTAATTTTTAAAAAAACACAATATCTTTTTTAGAAACCGAAAACCAAAATAAATATAATACTATAACTAAACACTTTGACATTTGCCTAAAGATTTTAATTCCCTTAAAAATAACTATCTTAGTTAACATTTAAAATACTTTTCTTGTCACTTAGTTGAATTTTCAAGTTAACATATCAAGACTAAACTTAAAGGGGATTTCTCTGTTGACAGAAAAAAGTCATAAAATAGGCCAACAAACTTTCAAAATCAGATAAGCATTTAGTTAATAGCGAGTCGTAGTATATAAAATATTTCACAGAAATCTTTTTCCTATATTTATTTTATTCCGCAAAATAAATTGACCCATCGAACATGATAAATTACTTAAACTCTTATCATATCAATCCATTTTAACTCAAACGATATCAAATTAGTTAAATTTCTCTGTAATCACGTTGTTGACATATAATTAATTTCAATTTCATGATGATGCCGCTCTCTTGTAAAATGATGTTGTTGATTTTTGGTGCCCAACACACTGATGACTACGTTAAAATGAGCTGCAAAATTCGTATATTTATTTTGCTGTCCCATTCCGATTTCCAATTTCCATTCCCAAGCCCTATTTGGTTGGCAATATGGGCTTGGATCAGCACTCTTTGCCATTTATTACTGGTTTTAGTAATCGCAATTATGGAAAACATTGCCCTGACAATTGCAGCAACTATTCGTAATGTAAACAAATGATTACCAGAACCTAGTAATAATAATAACAGAAACTATCAATGACTGTGCATTTATTTGAGTGCAAATTTTGGGAATATATTGTCAGAAAAGATAAAAATAAATGTTTTTGGGAGCAGGGATGGGCTCTGAATATATAATCAGGAGCCAAATAGCAAAAATCATTTTTAAAGTTCTGAAAAGCACTAATTTTGCGAGTGAAGACAGACTTTCTTATCAGTATTTAGACTTTGTCTGTTCATTTTCCTGGAAAATACGTAGTTTTAGTTTTTGTGCTTTTTTGAGACCACTTTTTCATTGAAAAATATACAAAAAGCCTTCCCAGTTTCATTGATAAAAACTACTTTGGTTTTCTTTTCGGAAGATATGCAGATTTTGTTTTTATAAACTTATAAACTAAATCAAAAGTAAGTTGGTTTTTAGCTATTCTTAAAGCTTCAACAGTAATCAAAAATTTTTCAATAAAAAAAATAATCCTAATTATTGCATATAAAATAATAACTCTGCTAAAGACAATATCAAATCAAATTTAATTTGATTTACAAGGTTAAGCACTCATTTTCACTTGGTTTATCATTTTGCTAACGACGTAAGTGGCCATAATAAATGCCAAAATGAAATGTTAGTCCCAGAGCTTCGTTTATTTTCCAATTTATTAGCCAGCAGACATTTAATTTCCATTACTGACTAACAATTAAAAGCCCGAAGCTTCGAACTTTTGCGCTTGAAAAGGCACTCACTCGATCTATGATTGCCTTAGTTATGGTAATGTTTTTGCTTACAGTACAAACCTCACAGATACTCGAGTCGTATGTGTGTGTTTGTGTGCTAATTACCATGCCAAGATAACAAAACTTAATATGAGTGCAAAACTGGCTTTCTCTTGCCATCCGATATCTGGTATCTTTCGGAGCTCACTCCGGCAAATTGTATCCAGTCATCGTCCGAATATGGCCTTTAATTGAGTCATGTCATGAGTATTAGGCATAATTAAAAGGCAATTTCATTCAGAGCCAGGGAATTATGCGTGCAGTGCGGTGCGGTGTGTGCGATATATACATATATCTAGCATAATATCTAATATCTCTTAGCGGCACACAACAGGTTCGCATTACGTACTGAAATTAATTAAATTGTTACTCAAACCGTTCTCTGATTGACTGACACAGACGTCTGACACTTGACGCGATGAATGAATGGATTGCCATGGCATGGAATATCATGGAAACTGGTCATTCTGGATTCGCTATATATATACATAGATATATATTCGCACAAACAGAACTCAAACTGGGAGTTGGACTATCCGGCCATTTGGCATTTGAATGGGTTCCCGGTGCCTCGATTACGCAAAAATGTAAATAGGGAAAAACTATACATATATGCAAAAAGCATTTGTAGCTCTCATTACAATCATCACACACAGAAACACACACACTCATAAGAGGCTGCTGCCTGCATTTTTTCACGCTAATAATGCCAATAATAAACAAATAATGGAAATAATGGAATAGCAATAGTTGAATGCAGAATGCATAAACAAATGGATCCATTTGAATAATGCCATTAATCGATTCTGCACATTTTTGATATGCTTAATCATTCAATGGGGAGTATGGGGGAATTGGAGAAATTTAAAAGGAATTATAGCTCAAGATTGAATTTAAGTATCTTTTAATGGTTCTTCTCAGAAAATATGTGTAGTGGCTTTGAATAGAATAACTATTATGAGGATAGTAAATATGGATATGTGTATATTTTATTGTTTATCTTTAAAGAAATATTAAATAATACAGTTGAAGGTTTCTCAGTTTAATTTTAGTGCGTTCTGGCTTGATGATTGTATAATAAAAATTATCTTAAGCTTTCCTTGAGCTGTACTTTATGTTAACTAATAAAGGAGTAATTATATTTTTGTTGTATCATTTAGTAGGTTTGAAATAGTAATTTTCTAATGCTTAAACATTGTATAACAATATCTTTGTTTAGATTTCTAATAACTAAACTTTGTTTAAATATCTAAAGTTTATTTTTCTGGGATTTAAATAGTCTGGAAATATATATAGATTATTTTGTTGTTCAATAAAAACTATTTAATAATATAATACAAATAAAATCAAGCCATAAACTGATAGATCCTATATTATGGTTATTGATTTGAAAGGTCTACCGACTTGACTTAACTTTCATTAAAATATTTTCATTTTATTAAATCAATACATGATCAATTTATTAATTAAACCTTTTAATAGGTAATCAAAAACCATTTAATGATTGATTTTAAATACGAAAGCGAACAAAAAACATATATTCAAAACTTATTGGGCCTCTTTTAATTAGCACACTGAATCATAAATTATCCATTTTCAATGTGATAGTTAAGGGGGCCGCCTTTTGCTGCCAGCTCAGTTTATTTATTAATTACAAGCTGAACTTTCTTATTCCTCGGACTCAAAGACCTCCAGTCGGCTCCAGCTCAAAGACCAGACCCTTCTCCTCCTTCTCCTCCAAATCCCCTTGGACTCCATCCAGAGTGGAAAAAGCAGAACCGCTTCGCTTGATGATGGCAGTCGGCGATTACAGCTCCACTGATGAGTCACGCAATTAAACGGCGCACATTAATATGAAATGCCAACGGGTTGGATGGCGAAAAAGTCTGGGGAGCCACTTACACAGCACTTGCTTATATGCTGGATTTTTTACGACAGCAAAAAAGAAAACTAAAATAAAATAGGGAACAGAACAAGACTGACTTGGAGCTAAGCTCAATGTGAAGCTCTGTGGACAAGTGCTCTGGTTTTATTTTATACATATATTTGTTTTGCGACACAGACTCGGATGGGGTCCATTTGGAACATTTCTAATCAGGCGGCAATGATTTCCGAGAAATCGAGGCAATAAGCCAGCAAACACTCACTCACTCACTCACACACTCAATCAAGACCGCTTTGAGTGACGCTGTTATTCGTCGTCGTCATTCACTTAAGCGGACAGTTGAAAAATAAAACTAATTAGCCAGCCAAAGGCTGTGCCGTACCAGTCTATATGCCGTTTGCAATTCAATCAATATCAATTGGTAAATTTGCATTTTGCATTTTGCATTCAGTAACAAGTCCATTTAAGTGCTCGCACAGCGTGCAAATTGGACCGCAAGTCGAGTTTTCTGCAGACATGTATCCGTGTGTATCTAATTAATAATTATGACCATTATGAGACCAGTTGCATTTTTTGGCTTTATCTGTGGACCAATGCAGTCCCGGTGACTGGTTCAACGGCTTCCGCACTTTTGCCAGTTTTTGGCCAGCTTTGGCCAGCAAAAGCAACAAAACAAAAAATGTTACTTTTAATTGAAACTCTTTTTTAAGGCCTGAAATAAAAAAAAATCGCACACATGCATATGGAGATGTATGTAAATACAGCCATATACGTGTGCATATGCTCAATTGGTTTCGAAAAGCCGATAAAAAAAATATAAATAAATTTGCACCGCAAAAAAATATATATGTATTATATGTAAATATATAAACAATTGTGGGTAGAATAATAGTGATGAATTTTAAATGGAATTATGGATAAGTTACAAGTAGAGAGGCATAGGTAGTAATAGTAAAAAATATACATTCAATTCAATTCGGATTGCTGTTCTGTGTTGGTTTTTATTAGATTAATAAATCTGCTTACTCCATTTAATATTTTAAAATATTACAATTTTCCCAAATTTTTGACATTTAATTATGTTAAAAAAAAAATCATAAAAAATTGGGACAAAATTTTTATTTTTTTTTATTGCCTAAGAGGTCTAGATCGATTAGGATTTTTACGCTGATCAAGAATATATATGATTTATAGGGTCGGAAATGACTTCTTCCCTGATTCCCTGAAAATATACAATTCACGATCTGAAAACTTGAGCTTAGTTTCTACGGAGAATAAATATAAATTTTAAAGAAATTATTTTTTTTATATTTTGAAGGGATCTAGATATGTTCTAGTGAAATTAGTATTAAATTGCATAATCTTTCTTTGGTTTTAAATTGAAATAATTCTTTAAAAAACCAGACATAATTTTCTAACATATATTTTTAATGAGAACAATCCTTTAGAACTTTTCCCACAAATCTTCCTAAAACATTTTCCAGTGACCTCAACTGTATATATATATTGCATATATTGGCTATAACTTTGTTGTTGAACCGAAACTGGCCCGACATCAAATCAAATTGAATGAACGCGGTCCATTACTCTCCCAGTGATTTTGCCAAATGACTTCATTTCATATCAATTAAGTTTATTGTGCCGGTGTCTCTGTATGTCTGCCCCTACGTTCCATACAGTAAAAAAAGAAATAAGTAAAAACGCATGCCGCAGTCACACAGATACTGAGAGATACGCAGATACACAGATACAAAGATACATTTGCCCTGCCCTGAAAAACCGAACGAACCTGATTCATGCGCTTAATTGCTTTGGAGCGTGTGCCGCCTGCCGTCACAAAAATACAACAACAAAAAAAGTAAAGAAGTAAAATCGCAGGAGAGCAACGAAAAATAATAAAAAAAATGGTATAGTATGAAATCGAATTGTGCACACAAATGGGAGCAGCAAAACTTATGAGTTCGCCGCTGTAAATGTATCTGTATTTGTTCACGTATCTGTATCTGTATCTGCCACGGCAACGGGAACGGGAACGGCGACACCGACGGCGACTTTCAATAAAAATGACAACAACGCTTTTTGACAGTAGGTACCCGGAGTAGGGAAACGCTCATAAAATATGCCGGCCGGTTCAACCTGGGCACGCCAATCTTCCACTCACATAACACATAGAGTGAGTTGTTTGAATGAACGAAAGGGAAATTGAGTATGAGGGGAAACAACAGACAGCAAAAAAAAAGGTATTAAATGAAATTCAAATGGAAAGATCAACTTTGGATACGAGGGGCATTCCTTTAGATGCTGGAATTGAAAAAAAACAGGAGGGAGATCTTTAAAAATTCCCACACTTAAAGTCGTTATATCATCAAAATAATATAAAAGAAGCTTAATCAAATGTTTTACATTTGTTTTACTATGTTTTAATATATTTATTAGACTTTTCTTATATGTTTATAGGTTATCAAAAGATTTATATTTATATTTATTCATTCTTTTTCATTTTGCGTTTATTAATTGTACTTAAACATATCTTTTAAATATTATTCACTGTATATAATTGTAGAAATTATGATTTTAAAAGCCCTTAACCCGTATTTAATTCCCTTATCACTTGTTTATGCTTTGCGTTTAATTAATAGAATGTTTAAATAGAGCAAAATTATATTTCTTAAAACCTTTTAACACCTTGACAGTGCTTTCCAATGTCTAATCAATAGTTTCAAGCCCTTTAAACGACAATTATTTATTTTTAATTAATGCTTCCAAGAATTGATGTTTTTTATTTGTAAACAAAATGTAATTGCTGGGGAAACTATACAAACTGTTTTTCATACAAATAAATATATATTTTACTATTTATTTAGACTTTTAAATATATAAAAAGAAAGTTCTATATCTCTAAACTCAACGTAAAATATTTATTGTCAAAGGTTTACGCAATTACATTTATTTGTTGAAAATAATTTATCGAAAATGATATCTCCTTAAAATCATATATACTCTTCTATTTTTTATCATTCTGTTTTTATTTTCTGAGTAATTACGATCACGTTTCATATTTTTTTTTCATTTAATTATCACTTGACACAAACAGTTTGTGGTCGAAAGTTCCAGCTAAAAGATCTTCCCACGAAATTTTTGTTTCCTAAAAACCAATTTATTTCTTATCCCTCTGAAAGCTCTCTTAATTATGTTAATAATATCAGGAGATATCGCATAAATGCCATTTTTTCTGGCTGCTTATCTCAAAAACCCCAAGCCCACAAATTTTTCGTGTGCGCTCATTATAACCCTAATTTCGGTGACCCACAAATGCAATTAAGTTTTGCGATAAAAATAGACATTTTATGTGATTTCCTTTCCATCAAACACACTCAATCAATCAATCAGTCAGTTAGTCAGTTAGTCAATCGGTGAAACTCACCCCCCACCAAAAGCTGTGCAATCAATCTTAGATATTGTCGTTCTGGGACGGACTGATGTTGATAAGAAACGACAACGCAATTAGATAGCCGGTCGGAAAGATAAGCGAAGCAAGCTGTTCGTTCTTTTTTTTCCTTTCTTTTTTTATGGATCGCCGCCCCAGAGCCGAACTCATAAAAAGACAGCCGCTCTGCTCCGCAAATTGCCCCGCTGGTTGAGCTCAGGTTTCCACAGAAATTTCATTTATGGCTCGTTAATTAGCTCGGCAAATAAACGATCCCCGGGGTTGGGACAAACAAACATAAAACACGCTCAATCATTTTTTTTAATTTTTTGAAAACCGCGCCACAGTCAAGCTTTCCAACACACTTTCAGGCTTTAAGTATTTTGCAACACTCTAAAAGCAGCTGGAGATATAAACAGCTGATCCGCCAGTTTTATTCAGCCGGCACGTTGTCAAGGCGGATTTCGTGTTTTGAACAAAATAAACAAATTTTAGCCGGAAAAGTGCGTTATCTTGTAGTATAAACTGTGTGTAGTCATAGCAACCGGTGCTTTGGTTGTTTGTTGTTTGATTAACAAACGTTCTCTTCTCACATTCTCGTTTTTGCAGCTAAAACAAAAAGCTGAGAGCAGAGGCTTTAACAAACAAAAATCGAGCGAACAGCCGGCGAGAAAAAGTATCTTCTAGAAGAAAGAGTTCCCGCAAAAGTATCTTAAAGTGGCTACCAAAGAAGGGAGATAATTTAGAAATATCTACAAGCTTAAAATAAATAAAAGAAGCAAGTAAAGCAAGAAAAGTGTAGTAAAGCAAGTATAAATAAACATTTAATGTTACTAAATCTCCTTCTAATAGGAAATTAAAACTGGAGAGAGTCATAACTTCAAATTAATAAAATCAATTAAACGTCGAACAAAAAATAAAGTCAAGCAATTTAAAATATTTATTTAATGCAACTTAAAAAAGTTCCCTATATTCAGAAAATAAGATTTAAACTAGATAAAGATATTTAATCTTTAAAAAAAGGATAAATTTGACTGAAATAATTGTTAAATCTTGTTCTAGAAGGATTTAAATTAATAATTAATTATAAAATATCACAGATACATAAAATAAATCCATGCTAATGGTCAAAGAATTTAACATTTATATGAAATAAAATACAATTATTCATATAAATAAAAAGAAGCCTGAATAAATCTTAAATTAAACATCTAAATCCAAACCAAAATACTTAAAGAAAACTCATAAAGTGAATACTACAAAATATATCATTATAAATTCGAATTATTTAAAAATAAATCCAAGAAATTAAAAATATAAAATCAAGAGGAAGTATCAAGTACCCATCACCATGACCATTGAGATTGATACCCAAAAGATTTGTGATCAGCTGGAGGGCACTGATCGTCGTCAGAAGACCAAAACTCTGGAGGAGCTGCGGGAACTCTTGGAAAACTCTAACGAAAATCTAACCACCGAGGAAATTGCCGCCAGCTTCGATGAGTTGTACTTGCACCTATTGAAGTCCTACGACGATCGCTTCGAGAGTGTTCGTGATCATGCCGTTCAGGCGGTAAATGCTTTCCTGAAGCGTCTGCCTCCCATGGATTTTCATCTCCTAAATGTGGTTTCCACTTTATCCGAGCGAATGGGAAAAGCTGAAACAGTGGAGCCCAGTGAGGAGATTCGTTTGCTCTACATTAGCCAATTGCATTTGATGATCTCTCAGTATGCCAAGATGGGTAATGTGGGCGTCTTCCGGGAATGCTATCCCCAGGTGACCAAAGTCCTGATCAAGTCCATCAAGGATGACTATCCACTTGTGCAGCGTGAAGGTTGTGCTACCTTGGTGGATCTCGCCAAGGTGGCTGACACCCAGGAGTTTCGTCCATTCACCGAGTCCTTGGCCGTGGCACTGTATGGAATGCTGAATCATAAACATGCTCCGGCCAGGATCTCGGCAGTGGAGGCCATTGGCAGGCTGAGTCTTCACATGGATGCCAGTGCCGATAGCATGAGGAGGCTGTTCAATGAGGTTTCTCCTCTCCTGATGGATTCCATGCCTCTGGTACGTCGCGAAGTGGGTCAGATGGGTGTCCTTATGTGTCAGGAATTCCTGGATCGTTATTCCTTTTTCGAGAGAATCTTGCCGCTGGTTTTGTGCTGCCTTAAAGATGATTCCCCGGAGGTTTTCAATCACATTTATCCCCAGTGGTTGAAGTGTGGAAAACTATATTACGAGGAAAATGAAGAGGAGTTAAGCAAGCAGGAGATAAGTGATCCTCAAGTGGAGAATTATCCAGAGGATGTGAAGCGTCCCACGATAGGATGTCGCGGCTTGGTCCAGCGTTCTTTAAGATTATTGACACTGATTACCCGGGAGACGGGAGATTGGAAGGATAATGTACGTCTGCACTCGCTCAAGCTACTTTATCAATTTGTTTTGCATGCTGAGTCTGCCATGACAGCCAAGTTCTTTGAGATCTATGGGGATTTAGCTCATGTCTGCATTGATCCTGTGGCAGAAGTTGCTGCAGAAGCTGCCAAGGTATCGGATCTACTGGGACGTCTGTTGATGTATGAAGCCTGGATCGATCACGGTTTTGATGGACTCGAACGCAATGCCAGAGAGTCGTATATGAAATGTTTCTACTACATGTTCACCTCGGCTTTGGGTGGCACTTATGAGCAACTCTTGAAGATAGCTAAACTCCTACGGAGCACCGATTACTCGCACACCTTGAAGCCAGGTTTTCAGATCTATATCCTGAAATTACTAAATACCGTACTGGATAAATCCCTGAAAGTAAATGCAGGACAGGAGGAGCTGCAGGATCTTTACGAATCTGTTTATGTGAGTGCCATCAAAGTAAATGCTTTGCAACATTCACTTTCCCAAGATGTGACTCAGGGAAAACTTCTGATTGAAAGAATTGCCAAACTGGAACAGATTTCGGTGGGAAAACTCCATGAACGTTGGTTCCATCTAGCTCTTCTGGATGTGGAAAATCTGGATGCTTCACTGGAGGACACTGCTGAGCCTGTGATGTTACTGGATGGCTTAATAAATATTTGTCACCTGCGAGCCACCTATATGACGGATCTCATCAAGAAAGTCCTGGTGGTCTTTGAGCATTGCTGTGATAGTGCTCATGTCAAGGTATTCAGTAGCCTTTCGATGGCATCGCTACTTTGGTCAGAAACCATGGGAATCGAGCGTGAGCAGAGCACTCAGTTACTGGCGGAGTTCGTCACCCAAATTGTGGAACCCTATCTCACCTGGAAGGCGGGTTCCAGTGCTGAGGCTATGAGATCCTTGGCCATGGCCACCCTCTGCGCTCTGGCCCAAGGAGCAGAGTCGGAGGCAGTCGAGGTCCTTCCATCCTTGGCTAAACATATGCCAAGTTTACTGGAAGATCGTAATGTAACCACTCGACATTATGCCATCAAAGCTGTGGTTTATTTCCGTGAAATGTCCGTGGAGGATCTGAAGCCTATAGCCTATGCCACCATGCAGCGAATGGATGATCCTTCGGCAGGGATACGCAGCCTGGCTGCTTTGGCGGTGGGTAAACTGAAGCCGAAATTCAAGGACTCTGAGGAGGAGTCGAAGCACGAGAAGGAAGTCTGGGAAGCCTTTGTCAAGCGTGCCATGGATTTGCTTTTGCTGTACCACGAAAGCCCGGAAAAGGACATCAAGGCAGCGGTGGAGAGAACCCTCAAGGTACTGGCCCAATCCCATCCAGCGGCTTGGGAGGAGCGTTACGAAAGGGCCTTGGCAATGGTCCAGAAGAAGGATCAACTCAGTGAACTCTACAAGAAGTTAACCATCAAAGATGAAGCAGAGCCAGAGCCTGAATCTTCAATAAGTTCTTGAATTTCCATTTCAAAAACACTATTCTTACATTCTTACATTTTTCAAAGATCTAAAAGTCAATTGATTTTTCAAATTCAAACGTTTAAGCCCATTTCCCGTAATTATTTACCTTGTAATTGGCTTCCAATGACTTATATCTGTTGAGATTCCAAGTACTGTGAATTATTGTAAACAAAATCAACGAAACTATAAAGTAAAATCTGTGTGCACTGACGAAATTGCAAGCATAAATCTAAAGCAAGCTCTTGTTTATTTTGCCAGCGGCCAAAAATAATCCGTTTGATGATGAATTGGGTTGGAAAATAGGAGCAAAAATCGTAAAGCAAAAGGCTGAAAAATAATTGCAATTAATATAGAGCACAATGTTGGCTTTAAATACTCTTGATAAATATACGAACTTATAAACAGAAAAGTACATATTTCGGTTAGTGAAACAATAGAGACCCAGTTAAAAATACAAATTTTAAATGTTTTAAATAAGTAACTTTACAGCTTTATAAGCGTGCTAAATTTAATTGTTACAAACATTAAACTTCCGCCAACAATTAAAAGCTCACCCACACCTCTCTCATGTGTGCGGATTGTTGAATGAAATTACATGGCTATATATGTATGTATTATTAATCCTCGGAATGGTGGTGTTAAGTCCTTAACGAGGGTTTTGGCCTGCAGAAATGTTGCACAACTTTCAGCGCTGCGCCATTAAGCTGCATTCGAAGCCGCATTTGATTGGTTTACCATTCAACAAAGTCACGACCCAATTTCCCAGGGCAACGGGAAAAACTAATTTGCGATGCTATGCAGCCGAAAAAGTTTGCACACTATATTAAAACAATTTGTCAAATTAGGCAAAATGTACAAGTTTCTAATTAAAATACCCACACGCGCGCACATGAGTATCATAAAAGAGAGAGAGAGTGTGTGTATGTGTGTGTCAGCTTGAGGGGGAAAAGAGTCCTTCAAATGTACAGTGGGGACTCGAATAAATATATTTTTTGAGGTTTTAATATTGGGGATTAATTAGGAAACTTGTAAAATATATTTATGGAATGTAGATTAAAAGAAGAGGTTCTAATTTCTGTATTAAATGATATGCTTTGAAAGAAACATCATAAATCATTTATATCATACAATTTTTTTTGCTATGTACGTTTTTTTTATTACAATACTTAACTTAAACCTTCACTTGTTGATTTTTTTTGCATTCTAAATATTTTTATTGACAAAAGGAAATGTTAAGGAAAACTCGTATGCTCTAAAAAAAAATTAATATATCTTTAGGTAAAGTAGAAAAGTTTTTTACAATAAGAAATATTATTTTTTAAAAGAAGACTATATGATTTTACTCCATAAAAACTGCATATAAATTCCTAGGGTTTCCTTTATAAAAGAAGAAAATAAGTGGAAGAAATCTTTAAAAATCCTGCAAATCCCTATAAAAATACACATCCAAATTCAGATACTCAGTAATATTCCTTTATAAAAGAAGTCTTTTTATTTTTTCTCCCTAAAAATTCCACATAAACTCAAAAAATAAATCTAAGAAATCTCCAAAAAATTCTGTAAATCTTAGGCAGGCTCCACTGTACATCGACAAAGTTCAGATGGCGCCATTTGAAGCGTCTGTTTCTGTCTCTTTCTCTGCTCTTAATTGCTGGCAAATGAGCGGCATAAGGTTTTTTTCTATCTGAGTTTTGGGTCGCTTTGGGGGTTCGAGAAGTGGGTGTTATTCAGGAGATAGGTATGCGAATGTGTGTGTCCACAGCAAACACACAACACACACGGAAATGACTAACTGGAAATAAATGTTAAGCAGCTGGGTATCCTTGGCTGATTTGTTGCCTTCTCTTAATTAATTTTATTTCACATTTTCACCAAGGCTAATTATTAATAAATATTTCTGCAATTAGAGAGCTCGCACCACTTCTTCTTTAGCGTCGCATCCGAGAGATGATCTTTATGACGGGATATATTAAATTAAAATAAATGCCAGGAATGGAGAGGGACTCTTGTTGGGGCAGGCAGCTCTTCTTTGCATTGTTATGGCAAAGCACATTTAACTAATTATGCCGAACTCCGGGCTTCAAAGACCGGACGGACTGTGCGGACCGTGGACTGTGCAAACGAAGCGAGCTTGCTGAGAGCGGCGGCCACCCACAGACGTCAGTTGTCAGTTTAATTAATCCCTTTCAGTGGCAGGCAGACCGAGAGCTGCATTTTACACTGAGAATTGGAAATTTTGAGACATTTTTGTATAATTTTTTATAAGAATTTGGGTAAAGTTAAAGACATTTCCTTTAGACTTTCTTCAAATTCAAAGATTCATTTAGTTTATATAGCAATTGAAGATTTTAATATGCTTTCTAAGGAATCCTAAGGTATTTTCAGTTCAAGAAAAATGGTCACACTATACTGAATGCTATAAAAAGGATACAATTTTGATTTTTGAATCACTTCAAAGGTTTTTTCTTATTTTTACATTATTTTAGTGTTAAATTTGGAAACCTCATGTGTCTCTTAAAGAAAATTATGTAGGTTTTTCAAAAATTGTTAATATAAAACCCCTAAATTATTAATAAACTATATAAAAATGGGTCTTATTAATTATACAATTTTTAAATACAAATTTATAAGGCTTTCAAGGGTTTTATGTTAACTTTAAGTTCTTTATAAGCCTTTACCTTTACCTTTAAGCCTTTTATCTAAACCCTCCCTCTCTTGATATTCCGACCCACCTATTGATATTTCTCCCAGTGTATTTTTGCCTGGCACACGGCAAATAAACAGTTATAAATAGCAGGCATGAGCAGACCAAGCGGACAGGACCTGGGACCGCTTCGAAGGACCGACAACTTCATCCCCATAGCTGCCGCCATAGCCGCTTGTGGCGCACAAATTAAATGCTACATTCAATGCCATTTCGAAATCATTTCGAGTGCCCCAGCCACCGGGCTGGGTTGGGTTTTTTTTTGGGGGGGAGAGGAATGGGAATGTGGATCTGGGATCCGTTTGGCTTGGACTCGGGCCGTCTGTCTGAAGGACGAAGCACAAAGTTGCCAGGACTCGACTTCTGCCGCAATTGAATTTCACTGGGGCAAAAAAATAAGTTAAGCCGCATTCGTGCCCTTTTGCTTGCCGGTGTGCCCCCCCTTTCTTTCCATTCCCTTCCCCCCTCTATTATCCTGCGAGCTTGCAATTTGAAAATTACTTTCATTACGCTTAAAAGTTCATTAAAATTTCACATCCCTGGATCTCCACTGCTCGACGTCGTTGTCGTTCATTTTCCTTTTCCTCCAATTTCCCTTCGCTGGTTGTCAGTTGCCGTGCATATTTACACACTTGACTGGGCCAAAAATAAAGCCAGCAAAAAATACAGGATACAAATAAATACGAGTATCTACCAAATGGCTGACCTATTTGGCCAAAATGGTCGTTGGATTCCAATCAACGCCGATGACCATGATATTTCGACCCTGTTAGTTAGTGCTTTTACTAATTGAGATACTTTTCGGCTCGGATTGCAGACTGACTGCATTATGCAAGTAAATTAAATGAGTTAACGTAACAATTAATCCACTGGCAGGCCATGGCAACAGCGATGGTATGTAACAATATCCTGGCAAATGGTAATACACTGAGGAGAAAAGTAGAGGTTTTTAATGCGGAATATAGATTTTGGTAAAAATAGTGGTAGGAGAATGTATGTAGTTATTTTTTGTATTAATTATTTTTATTGTTCAATTAAGAAAAAGTATCAAACGTTGTTAACTCCAATTTACATGCACCTAAAAGTATGCAATGTTACTTGTAATCCCGGGATTTGGTAGTTTAAGAAGCTATTAAAGCTATTAAACAGAGATTTTAGATAAATGTGACAAATATGGTAAATATTAATCATAAAATTGTGAAAAAATAATACTAAGGATAAAATTTGGTTTAAATTTAACTCTGATCCTGTATGTTCTATATGAATTTTAATGATATTTATATTGGAGATTTTTGTGTGACATTTTATAACGTAAAGTGGTCTATTAAGAGATTTTTTCTGTACCATCTTAAGGCGATAAATGCTTTATTAGCATTATTATTAATTTCCCAATTTTCAAATTAAGTTCTGAGTGTTTTCCGCCAATAAAACATCCCCCGATGAACAAATGGCCAACGATGAGCGATGAACGATAATTAAATACCGCCCCCATATCTACCCTCCTCCTTATCCTTATCCTTATCCCAAAAAACTTAAGAGTGGAGTGGAGTGTCTTAGCAATTAGGGTGCTGCTGGCTACCACTAATAAAAATGGGCGGGATGATGGCATAGGCATCCCTGTCATCGCAAGCTCCCACTCTGTTCGCAACGAATTTCGCTTCATTTGCTCCAGCTTCGCTTATTTCCACTTAAATGCTTAATTATAATTGAGTTTTATGTACAGCAAGTAAAACTGTCTCTGAGCAGCAGTGGCTTCTTCCTGGCAGTGTGTACTTGAAATTAAATACAAATAATCTTTTGACTCCTTTCTGGAGTCCCTCCCGTTCTGCCCCATCTGGAGGTCCGTTCTCATTTGGCGTTGTTTTAATTACGTCTTAATGCCAACGCTTAAAGGAGCGGGGAGAACGAAACAAGGTTCAATGCCTTCACCGTCCTCAGTGCGTATCAATTCAGCGTTAATTGCTCGCCAGTCCCCAGTTCCATCATCCTCACAGTCCTGGGCCGACGATCCTTGAGTCTGTGAGGAAATCGGATAAACTGGAATGGTGCGAAAGCCATTTTGGCAAAGGTTTTTATTGATTTTCTCGTATAGAAACCGAAACAGTGGTGCCAAAAGGGTTAATTAAGCAAAAGAAAGGGAAGACTTTAGTAGTGTTTAAAGTGATTTTTGTTTGACTATTATGGTTTTACTGAAAGGTAAAAGGATGTAAGTTGATTTGCTATTATTTCTATAAATTTGTATACTTCCTGCAAAATAATTTTCCCTTGATTTTGAATGGTTTTTATAAACCAAACCTCGTTTTTTTATTTTATTAATTGAATTTTAACAAAGATAGTCACATTTCAAATAAATTTTGAAGATATAAACCATTATATTATTATTGAAAAATAATCAAAGCACTTTAAATCTTCGTAGAGAGGTTATTTCTCCGTTTTGTAAATCAGCAATTAACATTAAATATCTCAAAATAAATACAAATTAATAAATACATCCCTAAATACAACGTAGTATCCCTTAATTAAATCAATA